TCTTTCTGGGAGCTTCCCAGAAATTAAAGCTCTATAAGAAAGGCATTGTGCTAAAACATAAAAAGATAAACTTTTAAAAAGAGAATAAAGTTCTACAAAATAGAAGCCATCTGATCTAAAAACACTGCGAGGCATTTAAAAGCAAAACTGAAGGATGGACAGGCCTAGGAAAACGGGCTCACCTGCCACCGGGTTCCAAGGAAATCTCTCTGCAGATCCCACATGCCATGCCCCACCGCCTTTCCCCTGTACCCCAATTCTTCGGTGGTTTTGCAGTTGGTGTGCAACATTCCCCCATTTTGAAAGGATGGAATTTCCCCCCTCTGGGTGAGTTTCTGGCCCTAGTAGGCTTGAAATCAAAGATGGTTTGGCAGTTGAATTTTACTTCAATGCTGGGGATGGTGAGTGATCTTTTGCCACGCCAGAAGGCTGCAGGTTAGTTTAGAAATTAAAGGATGTTTGCCCACAGAGCTCTGTTCTTTGGGATCGACCTTCCCTGGATGGGAGCAAACAACCCAAGATGCGTGTGAAGATAACTGGACCCAGACCCCCAGTGTTGGTGGCCTGTTTCTGTCAGTAAGATCTTTAAGCCAACTGGGCTGGTATCTTGGGTATTTGGGGCCTGCCTCCTTTTGAGCTCCTCGAAAGGGAACATGAAAAAGGGTTGACATCCCTTGTATGGTCCAACCTTACCCCAGTGCAGGAATCTTGCAATTTGACTGGTAGTGGACCCCCTCTGTTGAAAGCCATCCCTGGAAGAACCCACCACAGTTCAAAACAATCTTGCAATGTTTGGCCAGAGTCCATCTGCCTGACATGTCCACCCATGTTCTAGTCTTGCTGTCTGGAGAAACAAGGGATATATCCACCCCATCTTCTGCTTTTCAGATATTTCAAGACCAATTACCCATGACTCTTCTCTGCTCCAGGCAAAACACTCAACTCTTTCAGCCATTCCTCATAGGACTTGGTCCCTGCGTTGTTCCCCTACAGGCTGCTCTTCTCCATGTCTTCCTTAAAAAGTGGCACACGATTTAACATGGTACCTGAACACGGTGCTTTAGCTGCAGGGAAAAAGTTCCTGGGAAACAGGTACACAAGACAACAAAAGACACACATTTGTATATGCCAAACTTGACCTGCTCTGAAGTCTCTGTGTGAATGTCCTTGAAAATCTCAAGCAGAAATATCTGGCGCACCTGACAAGGTGGACTCATGTGGGCCAAAAGTCTGCTCATCTAGGAGGATGAGATGCCACAGGGGTGCTTTGGACCTCTGGACTTATGGTTTCGATAAGGATGGCAGAACAAACAGCTTCCCGGAGATTCAGGGCTCCAAATGAGGAGGCCAGCATCTGTACTTCCAGATGCAGCTCACTCGAAGAGCGACCCCTGCTGGTGAGTGCCACTCGAAAAGGAACCAGATGGTGGTCCTGGAGAAGAAAGAGTGGCAGAATGCAAGGGCAACAATAAGAATCTGTTTGGAAAGAGAGAGAAAACCCAAGGGGACAACCTCCCCGTTCCCTACTGAGAATGTGGAGCTGGAGTCAGCCAGAAAGCTGAATGCAAAGCAATAGAAGTGACAGAATGCCAGGAGCAGGACTTGGGCTGGCTTGGATCTGGAAACAGGGCAGAGATGGGGATGCTGATGGATCCTGGTATTTTTGGTTGTAGGTCCTACTTTTACCCCCATCACAGAAGCTCAGCTTTGGGTCTCCTGTCTTTCTTTCATCAAGCCCTTGAATTACTCCACTTTCCCTTCTTTTAAGAGATTCCATGGCCAGGTTGAAAGTCCAAGAGCAAATCCACATGCTGTCAGGATGACAAGTTGCTGGACTGGCAACCAAGGGGAGGCAACACAAGGGAATCCAGGTCCGTCCCTCCACTCAGACATGCTGGGCTGTTTGCTCCCCTGCAGAGAAGGCAGATGGCATAATTCAATGTTGTGCTCCATTTACGAATGTCTCGGGGCCTGTTAGGAAGACGGGGGGGGGGGGCATTTCCCAGGGAGCTGTCCCTGGTCCTGAAGTCTCCAACCTGGCCCTGGTTTCCTCAAAGCAGCATTATCTTGTTTTCCTACAGGTTGGAAAAAGCTGCCCCTGGGAAGCCAGAAGGTTGCAGGCCAGGCGTGCCATGGTCTGGGCACCCAGCCTGGCCCCCTGGAGCATCCCAAATGGCTCCCCCCACTTCTCTGTCTCCTTCCTCTTTCCCCCAGTTGCAAATTCTTTGGTGGCTCGTGTGCAAATTCTCTCCACCACCACCCATCCCAAAAGATTCATTTCTGGCAGCAGAACCTTGGAACCAGGGTGGTGTGGTTTGAGGGTTGGACTGGGGATGTGGGAGATCCCCATTCAACCAAGCAGTACATTGAGCAACTCCAGGTCGGTCACAGCCCAGCACCTAACCTACCTCACAGGGTTGTTGTGTTGAGGATGCAATGGAGAAAAGGAGAACTTTGAAAGCTGCTTTGGGTTCCTTGCAAGAGGAAGAAAAGGGTGAATATAAATATAATGCAACAGTGACACATATGCTGGTGCTCTGGGTGTTTTCGAGCATGCAAGTCACTACAGCGAGGTCCTCAAGAGTTCTCTGGAATTGAGTTTGGCTGGAAGGGGTTCAAACCCCTTTTTTGACCCTCCCTTAGCAGTGGTCCTTGTGTCAATTTAGAGACTCCAAGCCCTTAGAGCAGGGCTGGCTGGGGGATGGGGGCACAAATCGGGAGTTCTGCAGGGCTGCGTTATGGGGCTGAACCAAAGAGGGCAGGGTGAAGATACCAGATAACACCAGCTGTTTTAGCTGAAAGATTTTCTGGCCAGTAACGAACCCTTTAGGAGCTATATTTCAACCTGTTAGAAAGGAGGAGGGAAATCACACCGAAACTGGGAAATCGCCAAATGATTGGGAGCTGAGAGAAAGGGTTTGGGACCAGGGGGAAGGGAGGGGAGGGGAGCATTCAGGAAGCTCTAGAGGGTTTGACTGGGCTCCCAGGAGACTTGTCTTCTCATACTTCATTAAACAACAAGCACATCATGCAATATAAAATGATAATCATCTGAATCATCCTTGTGGAGAAAGTATTTTGACATTGGAAAATCGCGTGTCCACTCTTCCTGCATTTCTGGGGTGACAGCTGATGCTGAAACGCATCTTTAACTCTCTCCTCCGTTGGCTGGACCGTCTCTTTTCTGTCCACTCTGTAATTAATAAAATAAAATTGAGCCATGCTTACTTGCTCGCTTTTCCACTGGGCAGTGACACCCCGTTGCTCCAGCCCAATCAATACAATGTCATTAGGCAAAAGGCAGGAAAATGGGCTAAAGTGTGTGTGTAGGGCGGGGGGGGGGGGGGGAGAGAAGGGCTGGCTTGAAGCGGCAGTGTGGGGGGAGCACTTTCCCAGAAAAACCAAGCAGAATAATGGAGCCACTCAGGGCGCTAAACTGTGTCTTCCAAAGGAATGGAAGTTCCTTGAAGGGTGTGTTGAATTCTCCTCTATCACTCAGGATTAATTTCCTCTTCCTCTTTCTTCATTACTGGGGTTGGACTGGCTTTGCTCCCTGCTTCTGGAATTCCCTGCTTACCAGCCAGGTTGCTTTTGTCCTGTTTTCTTTCAAGCCGAGCCATGAAACCAGGTTGTTCATGGGACTTGCACGCCCCACATTAAAAAAGAAGAAAGGAACCCTCCTTGAACACAGAAAAAGAGCGCACCAATGCCTGCTCTTGAGACTAGCAAAGGGAATCATTTCTTTTCTCTGCCCTGCCTGCCCCCACTCCATTAGAATATTCTGAACATAGGAAGAGCCTTCCAGGATTAGCCAGCCTTTGGTCTTAAAATGGCCAGTTAAGAGGTTTTTGGGACACACGGTATCCAAACATAGCAATTGCCATTCATCACTGTTAAAAGACCGCTCCTTCGTGCCCACTGGCAGCCAACTGGGTCACTAGGGATCACCAGGGACTAGTCCCATGCACATATTTTGAATGCCAGGGCTCCATTCTAAAGCACTATGACAATAATAGAAGTGTGGCCTGCAGTGTATGCGGAAAAGCCTTCTTCCAAAGACTTAGCACCTACAGTTTGTTCCAGCACATTAAGGGTCTGAAAGACTTTGGGCCACCGGCCTATCACACCTGGTGTGACACGTTCACACCAGCCATGGCTATCCACCATCTCAGCAAAAATGTTCCTCATCCTGTAGCTAAAGATCATGGAAGCCTAGAACAGTGGGTTGCAAGGGCCCTGAGGGCCATTGGGTCCAACCCCCAGGACTCCCAGAGGGCTTTCCCATTGAACCCTGAATGCCTCTAGCGTGGGAAAGTCCACAACCAACTTAGGTCATTGGTTCCATTGTCATACCGCTCTCACAGTTAGGAAATTTTTCCTGGTATCCAGCCAGAATCTTGCTTCCTGCACCTTGAG